ACCGCACATGAGACTGCTGTTCAAGCTCGAGAGGCAGGCGGGGGTGGGGGAAAGGTCCTATAATGGATAAGGAACTACCTAACAGGAAGGAGCCAAAGAGTTACGGTAAGGGGCGAGAAGTCGGACTGGCGAACAGTAACAAGTGGAGTACCACAAGGATCGGTGCTGGGACCAATTCTATTTCTTGTATATGTTAACGACATGTTTACAGGCGTAGAGTCCTACATGTTGATGTTTGCGGATGATGCAAAGTTGATGAGAAGAGTTGTGACAGATGAGGATTGCAGGATCCTCCAAGAGGACCTGAACAGATTGCAGAGATGGTCAGAGAAATGGTTACTAGAATTCAACACGAGCAAATGTAAAGTTATGGAAATGGACTAGGAGATAGGAGACCAAAGGGACAGTACACAATGAAGGGGAACAGCCTACCTGTAACGACGCGTGAAAGAGACCTGGGGGTGGACGTAACACCTAATCTATCTCCTGAGGCACATATTAATAGGATAACGACAGCAGCGTACTCTACACTGGCAAAAGTTAGAACATCATTCAGAAACCTAAGTAAGGAGGCATTTAGGGCGCTTTACACTGCCTACGTAAGGCCAGTCTTAGAGTATGCCGCCTCATCATGGAGTCCCCATCTGAAGAAGCATATAATGAAACTGGAAAAGGTTCAGAGGTTTGCAACGAGACTCGTCCCAGAGCTACGAGGGATGGGGTATGAAGAGCGCCTGAGGGAACTGTGCCTTACGACACTAGAAAGAAGAAGGGAGAGGGGGGACATGATAGGAACGTATAAGATACTCAGAAGAATTGACAGAGTGGACATAGTCGAAATGTTCACACGGAATAGTAACAGAACGAGAGGACATGGATGGAAGCTTGAAACTCAGATGAGTCACAGAGATGTTAGGAAGTTTTCTTTTAGCGTGAGAGTAGTGGGGAAATGGAATGCACTTCAGGAACAGGTTGTGGAAGCAAATACTATTCATAATTTTAAAACCAGGTATGATAGGGAAATAGGACAGGAGTCATTGCTGTAAACAACCGATGCTCGAAAGGCGGGATCCAAGAGTCAATGCTCGATCCTGCAGACACAACTAGGTGAGTACAACTAGGTGAGTACACACACTCACACACACACACACACACACACACTCACACACACACACACACACACTCACACACACACACACACACACACACACACACACACACACACACACACACACACACACACACACACACACACACACACACACACACACACACACACACAAGATACAAACTATAGCAGCTATTTGACTCCCAGCAACCTGCTGACTGCTTGGTAAACAGAAGGCTCAGATGATATAAACACTGCCCAATCGTTTCACCCCTCAACCGTTTGTCCTGTGATTAACTCAAAAAAAGATTAACAACAACAACAAAGGCCTTAAAATGACCAAGTTCCAAACAAGCAAAGACTTAAAACACTCCATTAAACATCAATACGTATTCAGATTCTCTCTTTTTCCAACATGGGATCAAACGCCGCCATTGTGTTCCCAACAAACTCTTGCAACTGAACAGTAATTTACATATTTATTATGGAAATGTTAAAAATAAACAATGTCGTGACCCATATCAGGTCGCCCCTTGTCTAGGATCATTTTAATTAAAGCAATGTTGATTGAAATGTTGTGTTTATTGACTGAAATGTTGTGTTTATTGACTGAAATGTTGTGTTTATTGACTGAAATGTTGTGTTTATTGATTGAAATGTTGTGTTTATTGACTGAAATGTTGTGTTTATTGACTGAAATATTGTGTTTATTGACTGAAATGTTGTGTTTATTGACTGAAATGTTGTGTTTATTGATTGAAATGTTGTGTTTATTGACTGAAATGTTGTGTTTATTGACTGAAATGTTGTGTTTATTGACTGAAATGTTGTGTTTATTGATTGAAATGTTGTGTTTATTGACTGAAATGTTGTGTTTATTGACTGAAATATTGTGTTTATTGACTGAAATGTTGTGTTTATTGACTGAAATGTTGTGTTTATTGACTGAAATGTTGGGCTGAATTGAGGTTGAGGAGTTAGATTGATTTTGTCTAAAAATGTTTGTCTCTATATTTTTATCTACTCTTATCTACTACTTATCTAGTTTTATCTAGATATCAACTACTCTTTATCTTTATCTATATATCTACTCTTTGTCTGTCTCTCTTTTTGTCTGTCTGTCTTTTCGCCCCTTAGTGTCTCTTAACAATATTAATGTGTTTGTAATCTCTTCTGATGCTCTCATTCACCTCACCCTTGAGGGGTAAAGTTGTCACCTCGCCCTTGAGGGGTAAAGTTGTCACCTCGCCCTTGAGGGGTAAAGTTGTCACCTCGCCCTTGAGGGGTAAAGTTGTCACCTCGCCCTTGAGGGGTAAAGTTGTCACCTCGCCCTTGAGGGGTAAAGTTGTCACCTCGCCTTAGAGGGTAAAGTTGTCACCTCGCCCTTGAGGGGTAAAGTTGTCACCTCACCCTTGAGGGGTAAAGTTGTCACCTCACCCTTGAGGGGTAAAGTTTTCACCTCGCCCTTAAGGGGTAAAGTTGTCACCTCGCCCTTGAGGGGTAAAGTTGTCACCTTGCCCTTGAGAGGTAAAGTTGTCACCTCGCCCTTGAGGGGTAAAGTTGTCACCTTGCCCTTGAGGGTAAAGTTGTCACCTCGCCCTTGAGAGGTAACGTTGTCACCTCGCCCTTGAGGGGTAAAGTTGTCACCTTGCCCTTGAGAGGTAACGTTGTCACCTCGCCCTTGAGGGGTAAAGTTGTCACCTCGCCCTTGAGGGTAAAGTTGTCACCTCGCCTTTGAGGGGTAAAGTTGTCACCTTGCCCTTGAGGGGTAAAGTTGTCACCTTGCCCTTGAGGGGTAAAGTTGTCACCTCGCCCTTGAGGGGTAAAGTTGTCACCTTGCCCTTGAGGGCTAAAGTTGTCACCTTGCCCTTGAGGGTAAGTTGTCACCTCTCCCTTGAAGGCAAAGTTGTCACCTCGCCCTTGAGGGGTAAAGTTGTCACCTTGCCCTTGAGGGCTGAAGTTGTCACCTTGCCCTTGAGGGCTAAAGTTGTCACCTTGCCCTTGAGGGCTAAAGGTGTCACCTTGCCCTTGAGAGGTAACGTTGTCACCTTGCCCTTGAGGGTAAAGTTGTCACCTTGCCCTTGAGGGGTAAAGTTGTCACCTTGCCCTTGAGGGTAAAGTTGTCACCTCGCCCTTGAGGGGTAAAGTTGTCACCTTGCCCTTGAGGGTAAAGTTGTCACCTCGCCCTTGAGGGGTAAAGTTGTCACCTTGCCCTTGAGGGTAAAGTTGTCACCTTGCCCTTGAGGGGTAAAGTTGTCACCTCGCCCTTGAGGGCTAAAGTTGTCACCTTGCCCTTGAGGGTAAAGTTGTCACCTCGCCCTTGAGGGGTAAAGTTGTCACCTCGCCTTTGAGGGTAAAGTTGTCACCTCGCCCTTGAGGGCTAAAGTTGTCACCTTGCCCTTGAGGGTAAAGTTGTCACCTCGCCCTTGAGGGGTAAAGTTGTCACCTTGCCCTTGAGAGGTAACGTTGTCACCTCGCCCTTGAGGGCTAAAGTTGTCGCCTTGCCCTTGAGGGTAAAGTTGTCACCTCGTCCTTGAGGGCTAAAGTTGTCACCTTGCCCTTGAGAGGTAACGTTGTCACCTCGCCTTTGAGGGTAACGTTGTCACCTCGCCCTTGAGGGTAAAGTTGTCACCTCGCCCTTGAGGGTAAAGTTGTCACCTCGCCCTTGAGGGTAACGTTGTCACCTCGCCCTTGAGGGTAAAGTTGTCACCTCGCCCTTGAGGGTAAAGTTGTCACCTCGCCCTTGAGGGGTAAAGTTGTGTAAAGTTGTATGGGGTCTACCATCCCCCAAGGGATGGGTATGGGGTCCACCCCCCCAAGGGATTGGAATGGGGTCCACCACCCCCCCCCCCCCCAAGGGATTGGTATGGGGTCCACCACCCCCCCAAGGGATTGGTTTGGGTTCCACCACCCCCAAAGGGATGGGTATGGAGTCCACCACCCCCAAAAGGGATGGTTAAGGGGTCCCCCACCCCCCAAGGGATGGGTATGGGGTCTACCATCACCCAAGGGATGGGTTTGGGGTCCAACACTCCCAAAGGGATGGGTATGGGGTCCAAACCCCCCCCCTCCGCAAGGGATGGGTATGGGGTCCACCTTCCCCCAAGGGATGGGTATGGGGTCAACCACCCCCCCTCGCAAGGGATTGGTATGGGGTCCACCACCCCCAAAGGGATGGGTATGGAGTCCACCACCCCTAAGAGGATGGGTATGGGGTCCACAACCCCCAAAGGGATGGGTATGGGGTCCCCCATCATCCAAGGGATGGGTTATTGGTCCACCACCCCCAAAGGGATGGGTATGGGGTCCACAACCCCCAAAGGGATGGGTATGGGGTCCCCCATCATCCAAGGGATGGGTTATTGGTCCACCACCCCCAAAGGGATGGGTATGGGGTCCTCGACCACTATAGGGATGGGTATGGGGTCCCCCATCAGCCAAGGGATAGGTTTGGGGTCCAACACTCCCAAAGGGATGGGTATGGGGTCCACCACCCTTAAAGGGATGGGTATGGGGTCTTCGACCCCTAAAGGGATGGGTATTGGGTCCACCACCCTCCAAGCGATGGGTATGGGGTCCACCACCCCCAAAGCGATGGGTATGGGGTCCACCACCCTCCAAGCGATGGGTATATGGGATCCATAACAAATAACTAAGTTAAAAAATAGTTAATTGTAGGAGTGTTATAAGTATATAAGAATCAAATCAACTGCAGTGAGCCTATGCTGGTTCAAACGAGGTGGCCCCTATTTACAACCACCCAAAACATATTAACATATTTATGTGTAACCTACACTTGAAACAACACATCGTTTTCACAGTTATTATGTAACCAGTAATTTGAACCATGTATCACCAACCCATAGCCAATATGCCCTGGTTAGGCCCCATTTAGATTATGCAGTTCAGTTTTGGTCGCCGTACTATAGAATGGATATAAATTCACTTGAACGTGTCCAGCATAGGATGACAAAGTTAATTCCCCAAATTAGAAATCTTTCCTATGAAGAAAGATTAACAAAGCTTAAGTTGCATTCACTGGAAAGGCAAAGAGTTAGGGGTGACATGATAGAGGTTTACAAGTGGATGAATGGACATAACAAAGGGGATATTTATAGGGTATTAAAAGTATCAACACAAGACAGAACACGAAACAATGGGTATAAATTGGATAAGTTTAGATTTAGGAAATACTTGGGTAAATACTGGTTCGGTAAAAGGGCTGTTGATTTGTGGAACCAATTACCGCGTAACGTGGTGGAAGTGGTGTCCCTCGATTGTTTCAAGCATGGGTTGGACATGTTTATGAGTGGGATTATGTGGTTGTTGATAGGAGCTGCCTCGTATGGGCCAATAGGCCTTCTGCAGTTACCTTTGTTCTTATTTTCTTATGTATAGTACACACATATGTACTATATTAGAGCTCAGATATCATGTTTTAGGCCTAGGGAGGCTAGGATAGGTTAGTTTTGTCTTTGCATAAAAAAAAATGTTTTCTGGTTTGACAACTGAATAGTACAGATTTCTACTTTCTAATTGTGTTATACATATGAGTTCCATAGTATATATATATATATATATATATATATATATATATATATATATATATATATATATTAGTATATTTTCGTAGCAGTCTTTCCTGTAGACATATATTATTAAATATGACCGAAAAAGTAAGATTAATAATTCTAACACGAATTTTCTCAATCTTTCGTACATTTCTTTTCACTGTTGGAGGTAAATCAAAAATCAATTCTCCAAAATTCATTTTTATTTCTAGTCTGACGCGACACGAGCGCGTTCCGTAAAACTTATTACATTTTCAAAGACTTTAGTTTACAAATACACAACTGAATAGAACTTACGCATCTCCGATTTTATATCTACATTTGAGAGAGGTGGATGGGGTGAGGTGGCATTAATAGGGTATTAATACCCTATTAATGCCACCTCACCCCATCCACCTCTCTCAAATGTAGATATAAAATCGGAGATGCGTAAGTTCTATTCAGTTGTGTATTTGTAAACTAAAGTCTTTGAAAATGTAATAAGTTTTACGGAACGCGCTCGTGTCGCGTCAGACTAGAAATAAAAATGAATTTTGGAGAATTGATTTTTGATTTACCTCCAACAGTGAAAAGAATGTACGAAAGATTGAGAAAATTCGTGTTAGAATTATTAATCTTACTTTTTCGGTCATATTTAATAATATATATATATAGATATATATGGTCCCTAAACATATGGTCACTGGTCCCTAAACAACAAAAAAGTGTCATCTACATATCTCCTGTACAAGACTGGTTTAAAGGCCGAAGGACAATTATCAAGCCAATTTATTTCGTGAAAACTCAAAAATTGGCTTGATAATTGTCCTTCGGCCTTTAAACCAGTCTTGTACAGGAGATATGTAGATGACACTTTTTTGTTGTTTAGGGACCAATGTCATATTGAGAAATTTAGAGAGTATCTTAATGCACAACATAGTAATATACGGTTTACTGCAGAGTGTGAAGTTGATAATTCATTGTCGTTTCTTGATGTAAAAGTGAATAACCTCAATGGGTTCAACACTAATGTTTTTAGGAAACCAACCTTTACTGGTTTAGGTTTAAATTTTAATTCTTTTGTTCGTGATATTTTTAAGAAAAATGCTATTAACACTCTACTGAATAGGGCCTTTGTTTTATGTTCTAATTGGAATAACTTTGATCAGGAAATTAATTTTCTTGTGAATTTTTTTCAAATAATGGTTATCCTGTGCATATGGTTTATACTTTTATAAGGAATTTCTTAAATAAGAAGTTTCACCCATCGTGTAGGATTACTACAGTGGAAAGGGATCTTAAATATATTAAATTACCATTTTATGGCAGTATTAGCTTTTCTGTAAGGAGTCGTTTGAGGAGACTGTTGCAGCAGTCTTATCCTCAATTAGACTTTAGATTTATTTTTGTCAACACAAATACCATAGGCTCTTATTTTAAATTTAAAGATAAAGTGCCTACCCCCTTGTGCTCAAATGACGTATATATGTATAATTGTTCCAGCTGTAATGCTGGATATATCGGGAGTTCCATTCGGAACTTTAAGATTAGGATACTTGAGCACCGGGGATTATCTTTTAGGACTGGATTACCATTGTCTAAACCAGCATTTCGGAGATTAGAAACCATTGTTATGAGTTTGATCATTCTCTGCTGGAATCTGATTTTAAAATTCTGGACACTTGTATTGTGGGAACCGACCTGTGAGATTTACATTTATTTAATTTATATGAATTTATATAGAATTTATATTTACGTAAATTTATATACTTCGATAGCAATTTGTATAATGATAAGTGGACTGTATTTCTGCAATAATCTCATAATCTCACAAATCGATCCTCTACACATTAGGGGGGGTTTATATTAATTTATATATATGCAGCCAATCAAACTACAGTATTAGACTACATACATTGAAGAGGTTCCTTATCTTATAGTACAGTAGGCCTTAGTCCACCAGGTATAACCAGGATGTAGAGACCAATCGACTCAATCGACTTGAGAATGGTCCAGGACGGACCGAAACGTCGTCGTCCCTTCAATTTCTAGTGTGTGGTCTGGTCACATACTTCAGCCACGTTATTGTGACTCATCGCCTGCATGTAGAGACCACTTTTCCCTCTTTGAGGTAGCTTCCATCACCCTGGTAACTGATGCACAAAGCCTTGCTTCCTCGTTTTGACCTGTCAAAAGGGCGCTAGCTGTAAAGCCAGAATCCTATATATGACAGGTATATCAGAGAACACTGTACATGGAACAATGAAAACCTGGCTTAATTACTTTTAGTTTGAGGCTACCACGTGCTCTAACCGGGTCACCCTATATAATGACATTAATGGCCATAAATGAAAGATACATGGGTTTCGGAAGAACACTTAACTTGATTTGTTGACAGCGTGTTGATAATGGTACACCTTTGGTTTCCATAACACTTCGTCCAAGAAAAATTAACAGGAGCCGTATTTGCTCCCGTGAGCCTCTGTGGTCTTAGTATCAACAAT